TGCATTATAAGTACGCAATGAATAAGTTATATGGAATGTCATAGCCCTGACCAGACCTAGGTTATTCAAGCCTTCTCATACCCAATCGTTTTTCCTGTTCCTAATCTTTCCCCTTCCATAAGCCTATTCAACATGTATATGGAGATGATAGTTCAAATGCGAAAATAGGCAAAAAAAAATAATGGGATAAAGAGGTCATCAGAATCAATGGAGAGTAACTACGACAAAAATTAGGCATACTGAAAAATATAGAATAGCTTTCACAAGAGAATAATCGGATAATAAGAATAAAAATATAAAACTAAGATTAAATAAAATATGCCTATCAAACTTTTCTATAATCCCATTACTCCTATTATATTCGCGCACCAATTAATTATTCGTACCTGTACATCAACTAAAGTAGAGGATGCCGTCTCTACGGGTAAGCCAATAGATTCTTGTGGTTGGTGCTCAGCTTCATCTTCACTTGTCTCCACTTCTAGCTCTACTTCAACTAGATCATCTTCTTCATTATCCTCGTCTTCACTATCTTCATCCATTTCTTGCTCTTCTTCAACTCCCTCATTACGAAATATAAGTTCTTGTCCCATAGTTTCTGGTTGCGAAGGAGACTGATTTTCAGCAACAACATTAGAAACTGCTGCTTCGGCTCGATCAGGACGCATAACGACAATTTGAGAGAATGAAGGGTCAGCTTCCGTGTGATTTTCTTCACTACCGAAGGGCCGATGATTTAATGCAATGTCATTAATAGAAGAGAAAAGATTTGCTGCTTCCGGAGTCCGAGATGAGGTCACAAGACGATATGGAATATGCGATTGAGCGGTGGTAATACTGTCAGCGAAATGTAAACAAACGGTAGCGGCAGCAGAATTGCTACGTGTGCCCTTTATGGTATTCATCATAAGGCTCAAATCATCACTTGGGTAGCTGACGATATCGAGGCCATCAGTAGTCCCAGAACCAGGATCCCCTAGCGAGGCAAAAGCCGATATCGAGGTAGTCAATGTGCCAACAACTTCCTCATCTTCGCCATTACGATATAAGCTAGTACTCATGCCATCTAAAAGAAAGAAAACGCAGCTTCATAAATTTGAAGAAGGCATTTTATGTTGGTAAGTTAGAAAGAATTTAGGAGTGAATATATTCATACATACGTATATGTATATGCATGGTCGTAAGTGCACATAATGGCGAGGAATAGCTAAAAGTATAAATTAGCTGCGAGTTTGATTAGAGATGGCATGGATTAACTGAAATCAAAAGTTTAGGGATACAAATCAAAAAAAATTAATTTTGGGGTAGTTTAGACTTTCATTAAATATTCAAAAAATAATTTTATTTGGAGCAGCTAAAATTTAAAGTGGGATGCTTCTAACCATATCAACTTGATATTGGAAGCAAAATTTAAGGGGAGCAAAGAGCGCATGCAGATTAAACAAAAATG